AAAGTCTAACTTACTTTAAAAATAAAAACTACTCAATTTACCAGTGATTTTGCTGTGAAAGAAAAAATGTATACTGTTGTGCTTTTACTTGACTTAATAGAAAAAATTCTGTACATTCAAAATGTAAGTTTTGCGCACTTTTTTATGCAGTCTCTGAACACATGTATATAAAATGCAATCTTCCCTGTTTAGCCAGCACTTATGCGCTCAAATTTTTTCTCTTGCCTACACACCCGCATGGCGAGCGCATAAAAAAGCACTTGATAAAAAACTAAAAGTGTTTTAAATTGCAACAAAACTATTTTGTTCAATTGTGCAACTCATAAAAAAATGGCTTATTTTACCAGTTTTTTTAAATTATTTTATCTAGTATTTATTCAAAGCATTCTTTTCGCTGTTTTTATTTTAATTTAAATAGCAGAATGAACATTTTAAATCGCGCAGGCTTAGAGTTGCAACCCCAAAAAAAACGCGTTTTTTTTTGCAAAAATAACAGACTGGTTCTAAAAACATGTTTTTTATAGTTTTTTTTGCTTTTTTTTAGTATTCATTAAATTTTAGATAATAATAATACTTGAAACAGTTCCAGTGCCCTTAAACCTACAAAATACAAATGTTTTCTATTTAATAAAATGCATATTAACTTATATAATAGCTGTTACAAACTAATCACCAATATTAAAAAAAAAACAGTATTAAATATTTAAAAAAGTAATTTTTTAAATAAATCTCAAAAAAACTATTATACTATTAGCTACTAGTTGATTGTAAGTATAATACTACTGAATGAAGGAAATAAAAATGTTATTTTAGCAGTGTTATTTCATTCATAAAAATGAATGAAATAACACTGCATTGCAAAATACAAAAATGAACCAACTGTTAAATAAAATTTACTTTAATTTTTTATTTACTTTTGTATATTACTTTTTTAAATTTTTAATATTTAATTTCTTTATTTTATTTTAAATTGCAATTAGATAGCTAAAATTTTATTTATTCAAACAATATTCAAGTAAATAAAAATAACACAATGATTAACTTTGTCTAATGAAAAAACATTTATATTAAACAATTTGTAATCTATTAATTATTTTTAATCAAAAAAAAAAAAAGAAATCTAAAAAAAAATATGCCAGGCAGAAAGAAATGTTTTGTAGCTACATTGTTCAATGAGGCACCTTTAGAATCTGGAGGTTCTAAAATTCAACAAGTTATATGCAAATTTTGCAGCTTAAAGCTATCAAAAAATGGCACTCGAATGACTGAGCACATTGCAAAATGTATGAAATGTGGCAATCAAATAAAAAACAAATATTTGAACGATATGCCTTTTAAACAGAAGAAAGTTCAAACTGAACTAATGATGGAAGAAGATATTCCTGAAAACTTACCTATTCAAGATATGAAAAAAGAGAAAAAAATATGTTTATCATCTGGTATTCCACAAGTTCCAATTGAGTCTTTCTTTCCAACACCAAGCTGTTTTGGAAACCAAAGTAGGTCTACAACCCCTAAGTTTGGAGACTGTAAGGCAAATTAAACCAAATCAGATAAGCCTCCCTTAAAACGATTGTATTCTTCAACAAGAGTTCCATTCACAACTCAGAAAAATAAAATTGCATCCTACATTTTAGGAGAGTACAAGAGTTTAGAGTCAGAGTTATCAAGCGACTCTGAAGAATACGGATTTGACTTTACAATAGAAGACCTTAATGAACAAGAAAGCCAGAATACAGAATCTGTTATTAATTAAAAATAAATCTTTTAAATGATGTACTATATATTTACCATATATCATGTTATTAATATATATTATATTACATTTATAATAAAAATAAAAATTAAATAAAAGTAAATAATTTTTTTTTTTAATCTAAAAAACAAAAAAAACCATAAAAAACACAAAAAACACAAAAAAAACATGTTTTTTTTGCAAAAAAAACACAATTAAAAAAAAACGGTTTTTTTTGCAACTCTACGCAGGCTAACTTAAAAATGATTGTCCTGCCAGCGCTTTTATGTGCGCTGGCATTAAACTTCAAACGAAGAAAACTGATTGTGGTGGGGTGATTATTGACCAGACCACCTAAGGACTGATTGTCTATAATAAAATAAAATTTAAAGAAATAACGCTTTCAATTTAAAATAGATATTCAGATATTAAGTAACTAAATATCTAAATTAATTTAAAGACCTTCATTTAAGCCATATGTCTTAAACATGAAGATCTCTAAAAAGTTACTACCCCTTTATTTGTGCCCTTATATTTTATAAAGACTAGATGAAGAAGAGAGTAATCATATCTTTTTTTATATTAGGAAATGACTAATAATTAGTTTCACACCTCGATCAGGCTAGTAGGCAGATAAGAGGGGCACTGGTTTCTAATGACACATTCAATTGTTGATAATTAATAAATAAGGTTTTTATAAAATGTTAGCACGTTTTAAGTATTAATGTGATAAGTTTTTTCAAATGTTTTCATTTTCAGATAGTAGGGTCTAATGGCCTTGTATGCTGTTAATCTTAGATCAAAATAAAGTGTTAGAAAAATTTACAAGCATCTCAAAATTGCTAAAAATTGGACTTTTCAAGCAAATGAACATTTTGTTTTTAGATATATTTGAGTTCTAAACTGCAACAAGCTGCCTATATTTCAGCGCTTGAAATAATTATTTAGAGGTTGCCGATCAACACTGAATTTTATGTCATTTAGAGGTTGCCGATCAACACTGAAAATTGGCTGAAATGATAAGAGTTGAAAACTAGACGATCAAATAATTTTCCTGACAATCAAACTTTTTGTTAGTGCGTTTTAACATTTTATAAGTGTAGCAATTTTTGTGTCACACTTTTTATGTTTGTGCTTGATAGCACTGCTTATACTGCAGAATTCCCACTTAATTTAAAATGCCAAAACAATAAAAAAATCAAAATAAAAACTTATACTGGGCCTTGTTTTGTGTCATGTTGTAAATATAAATGAGCCTTTAAAAAGAAAATTTTTTTAATGTTTCCTTATAAAGGCACTTTAGCAAGCCTTAAAAAAAAAAGAATAATTTTTTTTATACTTAAGCAGTTGTCTGTCTATCCTAACTTATCATAAAAATGAACAATTAAGAAATTAATTAAGCTGATCAAGTTAACTTTATCAAGTCAACTTAATTAAAGTCACTTGATTATGCAAAGTCATTCATTCGAAACGCTAAAAAAACTTTATTTTCTAATCACCTTAAGATATTTTTTAGCGCATTATTAGATTGTCATTAACTTTAAGATTTTTGTTATGAATATCTTGTTTATCAATATTTTTTTATATTTATATTACAAAATATATTTGTTATATTTATAATATAAATATTTTTTATCATTTTTATAACATAAAATATATTTTTTTACTTCATTTAGTTAATACTATAGTTTAAACTAAACGACTGTTTGCAACATTGTAAACAATTGTTTAGTAAGAACATTATTTAAAATTGACAAAAACACGCAAATTAGATCAAAGTATCAAGCTCATTCATTCAAAATTAAAATGTTTCTTTCTCTTGCATTCTACACAATGAAAAAGCTATTCAAATATTAATGATTGAACTTTAATGGTTTCCGTTACCGAAAAGAAATGATAGTTTTTTTTACAAAAACAATACAAGAAATATTAGAAATAATAGATAACATTTTTTGATTGAAACTTTAACACAAGAATATTTATTTAAAAAACAAACAAAATACTGAAAAAGGTTTTGAACTATTCGTTATTTGATTCGTCAGATGACGAATCTAAATTAATTAATGTTTTAAAACCAGTTTTTTTTTGTTGTTGCTCTTTTTGAGTAATTTTTTCTTTCTAATTGTGTTGGCCTTTGCACTACATCATTTGCCCATAAGTTTATAGCAGAACTTGAATCAAATACATTAAAATCTTTTCCTTGCAAACTTAGTCGAATTAAACTTTCAAACGTTTCTCTTTCAGAGAGTTCCATGTGTCCATTTTCGCTCTATTAATTATTGAAAAAAAGCATTGAACTTTTGCAATAGATACAGGCGAAATAAATAATAGCTCAAGAAAGAGTAGAACTGAAACCCATTTAATTCACAATGAGCTGGAGAATATTTGGTGCCATAACTTGCGGTAACCAGTATTATGTGGTACTAAGTACTTTACATTGTAATTTTACTAAGCCATGCCAAGAATCCAAAACATCATTTATGCTTCTGCTGACACCAGCATGTTGCTTCGGCATTTTGTAAAATTAATAAATTTTTTTTTTTTCTTCATTCAAGATCCAAGATGCATCATTTTCAATACTTTGAAGCCAGCTTTCTGCATTTAAAATTTTGAAGCCAGCTTTCTGCATTTAAAATTTTTGTACTACACATATCAGACTATTATGTTTCTAAACGTTCTATGATTGAATTCATTACCAGCTCAATAAGAATAATCTTGGAATTTT